ATTAAAAAAAAAAAAAAAAACAAGGGGAGGAGAGGCAAAAATAACACCTACCTACCTTGTAGGGTGGCTAAGACTATTCATAAAATCACATATGTAATGCATGTGGAATACAGGAAGTGCTTAACAAATGTTAATGTTACTTCTCTACAGCACACTTTCAATACTTCACTTTCAAAACTTTCAATATGAAGTCCATCCCCAGTGAATATTTCATGTTAACCCAATTACGAAGCACTGTTGCTTGGCTCCACAGACAGAAAAGTGGAATCTTTTTGACTCAGTATTCTCAAAGTGCAGAAACCAAGGCTCCAAATGGGTGGGTTAGGAGAGAAGGGGAAATGAAAGAATTTAAGTGTTCAACAGGGTGTGTTGGTAAAAACTCCAAATTTTAATGCAAACATTAGACAGAAAAATGTAGATTCTGTTTGTCAATGCAAAGGAATCTGTGGAATTGTGCTGATTATTTAAATTAAATGAAAAAACAAAAAACCAAACATACAATAAAGTTTCACCTAGGATATCCAGGAAAAATGGAAGGCAGTTTACTTGCTTCAACACAGGCCAAATTACCTCAACTGAATAATAAAATAGTTTAGCCATACGAAAGAGTGTAATTTAAGAAAAACCAGGGATCGCTTTCTTTATTTCTTAAACTTCTATATTTATATTATCAGAAACATAACCAAAATAGTTAGGAAATGAGAAAATTCAAAACTTAAAGTTTTACTTCATACTGGTGTATATAACATAAAACGTGAGTTAAGTATCCAGGAGATCTGAATCTTTTCTCATAACTGTCACCCAAACTCTTCCTCAACATAACAGAACTTTCTGAACTCCAATATGATTTCCCTGAAGTGATAAATAACCTAGTAATAATGTTAAGTCCTCAACGTGGGAGTTTTGGCCACAAAAACAGACGGTTAATTCTACTTACAAGACAGGGTATCCCTGCAGCCAGTGTTGTTCCCAAATGAGGTAATGTCCATAGCTCTTATCTAGCTTTTATTGAGATTTAATGTCATTTACCACTGGCTCTTATGAACCTGCTGTATAATCTCACCTTTTTTCATGTGTGTGACTTCTATCCATTTCAACATTGTAATTATGAACCTCTGGTTTTTAAAATGATTAAGAAATGAATCCCACATGTTCTTTCTTTCTTTTTTGCATATCCTGTAATTTAAATCTTTCTTCCACAGTCTCAGAAATTTTCAGAGATCAGCATATTTCTTGTTTTCAAGGTATGCTATAGAAACACTCAGGGATTTGATATATTTATGTAAACATTTTTCAAAGAAGTCAAATGTATAATTCAAGAAAATGTTCTGTGAAAGAATTTGTTTTCCGATTACAAAATGATTTCCTGCTTTTGAAAAAATAACAATTTTATATTTACTTAGCTGGCCCTCAAGGTCCCTTGGAGATTATCATTCCTTTCAATCCCTGAGATCTCTTTTCCAGGTGCAAACCTTTTACTGATTTCAAAGGTAATTTTATGTGGAGAGGAATCTATAAACTGTAGGAAGGAGAGTAAAAAGCCCTCCTCACATTAACTCTTTCTGCCTTCCCCATAAAGAACATGGTAAAACAGAAATATTGCAACACAGAGGAGATACCCAAATGAGCAGACAAAGCCTTTTCACATGCCTTTGCCTACCTTTTTTTCAACCAGGTTAAATCAACCTTTATAAAGACAGTAATCAGTTTGGCAAACACAAACACAATATCATTCATCCCCATAATTTTGTTTTTCAACAAGCTCTTCATCTCATCAACTCTTAGGAACAAGACAAATAGCCATAACCACTCCAGAGCCATATAGGATTTTTCCTTTCCATAGCATTTCCCTCTCACATTTTACCTAGCAGAAGTAAATCTGTGAGTATCAAAGGCGGCCCAGAGATAGATCAAAAGACCCACGTATTGTTATTGGGCAGACTAGTGAAACACAAGCCACGTCTTCTAATGGTGTGTGTGGGAAAGGAAGCTCAGAGGTCCCTGTGCAGGCATGTCTTGCTTTATTGCACTTTGCTTTATTGCCCTTCATAAATACTGCAGTTTTTACAAACTGACATTTTGTGGCAACCTGCATTAAGCAAGTCTATTGACATTATTTTTCCAAGAGCATGTGCTTACTTCATGTCTCTGTGTCACATTTTGGTAATTCTCACAATATTTCAAATTTTTTATAATGTTATTGTATACTTAATAGACAACAGTATAGTGTAAACAGAACTTTCATATACGCTGGGAAACCAAAAATTTGTGTGACTCACTTTATTGTGATACTCACTTTATTGGGGTGGTCTGGAACCAAACCTACAATATTTCCTAGGTATGCCTGTATACAACTGGTGAAAGAACAAAAGACGCAATCCCGATCAGAGCACTTCTGACAAAGCCCAGTCCAGAGTGGATCATCAGCAAAGAAAATCTGATGGTTGATGTCCTTGACAATCTGAGCTTCCTTGTAACTCAGCTAGCTGCATAATCTGTGGTTCACACTTTGAAAAGCCTGTTCTGCGTTACTCATTTGTGCCAGCTCTGTCCCTTCAGAAAAGCAACAGAGCCTGACAGAATCAAGAAAGCTAATTTATTTGACTGACTAAATGGTGACCTTTAAACCAAGATAACCCTTGCCCCTCTCTTTATCACAGGAATATAGTGAAGACTCAACAGATATGAGCAATTCAAGCTCTATAGAAGCATTTATAGTGAAGAAACTGCTAAAGATCCATGATGTGTATATCACAGAGCAGAGGACCTTAAAGTGCAGTCTAGGACCCTTGGGGGGCACACAATCCTTTTAGGAAGTCCTCATTATCTAACTATTTTCAAAATAATCCTAAGATCTTAGTTTCCTCTTTCATTCTTAATCTCTCATGAGTGTACAGGGGTGATTTCCAGAGGCTACATGATGTGTAATGATGTCAGCACTAATGATTGATGGAATATGTGCTTTTGAATTTTGCTGCTTTAAAATTTTCTGAGTTTTAATTTATTATTAAATATTCATAGATCTAACTCACGTGAGCAAAAGCTTTTTGGGGTCCTCTAGGAGCTCTGGTAGCATAGTGGCTAAAAGCACTTGACTGCTAACCAGAAGGCTGGCGGTTCAAACCCACCAGCCACTCCTCGGAAGGAAGGTTGGGCAATCCTACTTCCGTAGTGATACTGCCTCGGAAACCCAAGGAGGGGTCGCTATGAGTCGGGGCCGACTCGACGGCACATAACAACAACAACAACAACATAGCTTTTAAGGGGAGCTCTGGTGGCGTAGTGCCTAAGGCATTTGACTGCTATCCAGAAGGCTGGCGGTTCAAACCCACCAGCCACTCCCTGGAAGGAAGGTTGAGCAACCTACTTCCATAGTGATACTGCCTCAGAAACCCAAGGAGGGGTCACTATGAGTCCGATTCGACTCCATGGCAATGGTTGTGTTGTTTTTTTTATATAGCTTTTAAGAGTATAAAGACATCCTGAGATCAGACTGAGACTTGCCAACCTAGAACTTCAGTCTCACCCACATTTGGCAGTTCCCAGAAGTGCAGTTCCCAGAAGTGCCTTCTCACGCACTCTGAGCCTTGCTATATACTGCTCTTTCCTCAAAGCAGATTCTTTCCCTTCCCTCAATTGGCCAGCTTCTTCTGCTTTCTGATTTATGTCACTTTCCTTGGGAAGCTATCCCAGATGTCCCAAAGAAGTTCAGTAACCCCTATTATGTGTGCTACCAGTGTATACTATGCTACATTGAGATTGTCTGTTTTCCAGGTCATTTTTTACCTACTAGTCTCCTGGCTCCTTCAAGGCAAGGACTGACTTAGTCACTGTTTTGTCTGTGATATAGTGCTAAGAAGTAGGTACTCAACTCATATTTGTAGAATACATAAAACAAGCTAAGAAAGAAGGGAAGAAGATAAATCTATCTTGTATTCTCATCTGGGGGAAGTTACTAGAACTATTAATCTTCATTGAAATAGATGCTCATTAACATTATGATCATAAAAAAAATAGTAAGTAGATAGATAGACAGACAGCACTTATTATATACTAGGCACTGTTCTAAGCACTTATATGTATCAATTCATGTAATCTTCATAAAATCCCTATGAGGTCTACACTACTATTATCTACATTTCAAAAATGAAGAGATAGATGCAGTGAGGTACAGTAGATAGTGGTAAGTACAACAGTACGCAGGTAATGAGTGGTGGATTTGAGATTCACACACAGGCAATCAGACTCCAGAAGCAAACAGCCACTTTACACACTGCCTCCCATGTCAGCAGCACAGACCTCAGGTTTATAACATGTTTAGGAATTCATGTCCATCTCTCAACTGTGCTCAAAAATCAGGAACATGGCCTGACAATTAAATTCCACCTGTAGCTCTGCCCCAATGTGACTGACTACAGCAGTCATAACAACATGTGTGACCAGTACCACCTGTCCCCAAGTTTAGTTAGGAATTAAAAAACAGCAGTTCCAATAAGAAGTTTACTGGCTGTGTACATTCTCGACAACAACATCAAAATAAATAAAACTTAAAGGAAAAAAAAAAACTATCATCTGCAGCACAGAGAACAACAGAAAAGTAAGGTTTGGTATCTTCATCTCATGCACTGTGGTTTTGTGCAAACTCTTCCTGATATGTGTAAGAGCTTGTGCTTCTGGGTTAACCTCTCTTCCACAGAATGCTCACAGCTTCACCCTGAACTAGGAGTGACCCAGAATGTTCTTCAAGCTTACTTGATGAAAAAGACAAGACTTTCAGAGAGGTCAGTAAGTCCAAAAGGGAAAGTATGCTGTAGTAAACATAGAATTTAATGCAAAGGATGATATGGCAGAATCAGAATGTAATACTATACTCATGTTTGTGAGGAAGAAAGCACTTAGGAAATACTTCTACAGAAAAAGTTAAAATTCAAAATTATCAAAACCTCAACTACTAACAGTACACAAGATTCCAAAGCTCATTGTTTGGTAGCATTACTCACCTGGAGAAGCATCCCATGAATATGGTTTTGCCGGAAACACTGGTCAGTGCAGTCAGGGAGTCTGTCCAATAGAGTTCGGATGGTATTTGGGATTTGGTCTACCATAACAAATGGGACCAAGGCACGAGCTGCCATTTCACGGGACCGGTAGACAGGTGAGCGACCACATCTGGGAAGAAACAAAAACATAGGGCCATTCAATACTCATCTCCACATCTATGCCTTTGTATATGGTGGTGTTCTACCTAGTTCTGCTCCTTATTCCAAAAGAAGTTTGTTGTACTTCTGTTAGTTCTACAGGTAACTTGGCTTTTGTTATAAACATCATTAACATCTATAATTCTATCACAGGGATAAATGTTGATAGACTTTGAGAATAAGGTAATAAGTAGGTAGTAGCAACAATGACTTATTCCTCAATCATCAAACAACTATTAATTGGACATTTATAATAACCAAAGGAGCCCTGGTGGCACAGTAGTTAAAGCACTGAGCTGCTAATCCAAAGGTCCACGGTTCAAACTCATCAGCTGCTCTATAGGGGAAAGATGTGGCGCTCTGCTTTTGTAAAGATTACAGCCTTGGAAACTCTATAGGGCAGTTCTACACTGTCCTATAGGGTGGCTATCAGTCAGAATTAACTTGATGGCAATGAGTTATAATAATCAAAAGCATCCTGGTAATTGTCATGAGAAATAAAAGAGTCACTGTTTTCTTTGAGGAGCTTACACTCTGGTTGGCAAGGTGAAAAGCATATCTGAAAAGATGACCAAAGGTATAAGAGAGTAGAGGAAAAATGAGAAGAAGTGATCTTGACATTAAGACTACAGGAAGTTGAAGGAGGATTAAATTATGTGTTGTGATGTTCAAAAAGATGGAACTCAGAAAAGTAAGCAAGAGTCAAGTAGGCCAAGACCCAGCAAAAGTCATTTCAACCAAGGACAGCAGTAAAAACAAGGGCAGGAATGCTGAAGGTGTATTTGAGAGGATATATGTAGATGTGTCTGGTTGAAGTAGACAGAGAGAGGCTCATGAACAACAGTAGGCTGGGCCAGACTAGGGAATGCCACAAGGAAAACTATATGGTTTGAACTTGTTGTTAAGAATGAGTTAACAGATCCTAAACTCTAGGCTAACTCACACTCAAAAAGCTTGAATATGAGCCAGTTCTTAAATATGAGAAAATCATAGACAAGTGGTATTTTGAGATTCTACAAAGGTCACTGGAAAGGCAGGTTGTCCAAGGGTCTCTTGACTTTGTAAACACATAGAGCTTGAGAGTCCACAATCATTTTGTTGAAACTATGCACTTGAGAATCTTCACAGATACAGGTTTTTTTCCACTATCTGAAAGCAGAGCATTCACATGAAACCTTTAGGAAGCCTAAGTGGCATAAAGAGAAGAAGCAATTACTATTAATTTACATGGGAAAAAATTTTGAACTTTCCCAGATCCAAAAAATAACCTACCAAATCAAACTAAATAACACATAAAAGCTATAATAACACTGACGTATAGTGTTCACATACACAGTTCAAAGCTATGTGGCCTGATGCTGAGATGGTTAGTGTAGCTCCTGGTGAAAAAGCTTGGTGACACCATTCACATTGCTTGGGGGTGTGCGCTGCTTATTTAATGGCTTGCATCAAAACAAACACTGAACAACAGCTTTACTTTTTACCTTTTCTCATAAAAGTAAAAATCTTCTTTTGATTTTGTTTGGCTAGTGAAAACAGGTACTAATGTTGGGTTTTTGTAAAAGCAAAGTGGTGTAAAGCAAACTTTTGAAAAGTGGGGTCTACCTGCATAAGATTATTTGAGAAGAAAGTCGAATATGGTAAGTTCTATCATATAACTATAACTCTCAAGACTACATGATCTTTGACTCAATTTAAAAAACAATTCAATTTACAAGACAAAGATGGGAAAGATTAGAGGATGGTATACTCTGAAGGGGAAAGAGATGGCTTCTTGGCTTTTCCCAAAATTCAGCAGTGTTCCAGCTACTGGTTTTCAAGACGTGAAAGAAATTCTGGTAAGACCTGGACCCTTGTGCCCATGTGATCAAGTAGGCTTAGCTTGCAGAAGGACAAAGCCCAGTAACTAAAATGTTCCTAACACCCACAGGGCCAAAATCCATTAAATGGGGAAGACAATGCTTGTTTAATAAATGGTGCTGGCAAAACTGGAGATCCATTTGCAGAAAAATGAAATAAGATTTGTACCTCACACCATTCACAAAAATGAACTTGAGATGGATCAAAGACTTAAATGTGAAACCCAAAACTATAGTGTTCCTCAAGGAAAAGCTCGGGGCAAAGAGCTCTGGTAGCATAGTGCCTGAGGCACCTGACTGCTAACCAGAAGGCTGGCGGTTCAAACCC